GTCTGCGCATCGACCGTCGAAGCCAACTTGCGACCAGCGCCAGTTGCTACCTTGTGCTGCTCATCGAAGCCACCACCGCCGCAGCCACCGCCACAGCCACGATGATTGTTGACCAAAGGCTACTCCTGATCACGATGCTGATGCTGGCCAACGTCCAGTCAGGTACGCGAAACATTTGACTGTTTATCAATAGCGATACTTTCTCATGGAGGTACTTATGTCACTGCCCACCTCGGACCACTGGCCATTCAGTTTGCCAATGTCAGATGACAGACGCTGTTTGTGTGCCACTAGGGCTGTGACTCGTTGTCCACAATGCAACTCTAGTCTGCCTCACGAGGAGCTGACCATGGCCGAAATCAAATGTACGTGTCTGCAGACCAGACGAAGCATTTCTTCTCCTCAGCAACCGTAGTTGCCACGAACTACTGTCTATTTGCCGGAGAGGTAGCAAGACTCCGCGTGTGTTCTAAACGCGGACTGTCTAAACTTCGGTCGAATTCCATGCCACGAGCCAGAGGTACGTAATGAGGAGTGACCGCAAATATCCACACCTGAACGGAAGCTAGATGTACGTCGATAATGTAGTCAGCGGGAGCGTCACAATTGACGATTTGATAACGAATGCTGCACCGGGCTTGACGCTGTGCGTTCACTCAGCAGCGACGTGAAAGGAAAGCTGGGAAAAAGTTTTCATTATCAACTATTTACATAGAAAACACCTTAGTTTGGTTTCAAAGATACTTCGTCATCGCTCGATAAAAAACCTGTATACTCGTCTACTACCCAAGAGACAGGAACTGAACACAGCATAGGGCATCGTTGATTTATACACAGCTCAAGCAGATTGGTCATTCGGTTGATTGACCAGCACCGACGTGCCACTCCGGTTGGTCCAGGCCTTCTTCAGAATGATAAAGTGCGGGGTTTCAGAAGTCCTTTTTATCGTCGGCAACGGTTCGTCATTTTGAGTCAGATGGGGGGGGGCTTCTAACCTCAAACATGGAAGTTGTTGAGGACGCAAAATCTCCTAAGCTCACTCACTTGTCTATCTTGAAGAAGGGCGGTGAGAAACGGACAGAAACCTCAGTATTGGTCGATCATCCGATTCACCAAACATTTCAGGTTGTGTGTAAATAAGCCGTGTTTTCTGCTGCTTTCAGTATGACTACCAACGCACCTACCAAGTATCCAGACTTTGGAGGCAGCAGTTTTCCCCGTCGTAGACGCCTTAACACCGAAGATCGTTCTTATGGTAGATAGACTGATTTACATAATTTACTTACTTTCCGCGGATTTATTTGCTAAAGCAGGAATGTAGTAAGAATCGTTCAGATGTTCCATGTGCGAGGCAGTGCAAAATCTGTAGTTTCCCAAGTCGATTGATATCATCCAGAGCATAGGCATTTACTCATTATTGAAAAGAAGAGTGAAGTCCAGGGATGCCACGAAACGTTCTTGTCCTTGATGCTATTTCAGTCGGAGCAAAACTTCGTGACTATCCTTTACTCTGCAAGCCATTTTGCTAGTGGCAGGCCTTAGTAAGAAATTAAGTGTTTTGTAATCGTGTTTCGCCGACCCTCTTGCCGGAGTACAACTCCCGTTTTGCCCGTTTTATCAAGATTAACCAACCCATACGGTCACATTTTGGGTGAAGAAACATCACACGTGCAATGTGTATTCATCCACAATAAGTCAAATCAGTCGATGCTATTACGAACTCGATAACAGAAGAATTTAGAACCATGCAATGACTGGCAGATGTTAAACTCTAGCGTTCTAAGTTATGAATGTGAGGATAAACATTTGGTATAAATCAGCCACTCACTTATATAAAGCAGCTATTTGCCTACTAATCAATTGTATCCTGATGATGTTACGCGGCGTTACCAGCGTGGTACGTAATTCGTCAGCCATAAATTGGAATATGCATATGCATATG